CCCCACCAAACACCCCCGTACCCCACCAAACACCCCGTACCCCACCAAACACCCCCCTACCCCTGGGCCAGACAGTAAACCTTTTAGGACCTAGGCTGAATACCCCATGAGCACTCTATCTAGTAACATGATCTACAGGAACTTTTGCCAAGGTAAAGAGTGATTTCCTCTTGTTTACAAATGTGTCCAGGTGGCCACAGAACATTACTCTTTGGCCGTACAAAGGAAATACCTGCTGGCCTGGTTCCAGTGCATTCAGGACAATCTGGCTAAAAAGGCAGCCCGGGCTGATCGGCTTTATTCCCAGATCCTGCTCAGGAGAGGCATCCGGAGCTGGCAACAGGTAAGGCCCAGGGAAGGGGTTGCCACAATGCATCTTAACAGCTCAGAAAACCATACGGAGTCCAGGATGTCCACGGGCACCATGCTGTTTTCAAGAACAATGTCAGCAGCCCAGTTTATGGCTTTGAAATGAATCTGAAAAAGCCAAATGAATTTCTAGCTCATAGAAACCCTTAAACGTTCCTTTTAACAGAGTGTCCCCCTCGTATCCATAATGTATCCTTCTGTCAGCTTCACTTGTACACCACTTCTGTTTCTCATCCCATGGCGCCCCAGTGATTTTCCCAGAAACTGATGCCCATACGTAGCCCGACAGCGGTTTCCACCCGGCTGCGCCTGCACCTCTTTCTCAGAGTCCCGGCCGCATGTATTAGCCTCGTTCCCCTCAGGCCTCCCGCTTCCTCTGCTGTGTCTCTGCCAGGGCTTTGCCTCGCCCTGCGTTTGCTCCGATTCTAGACCTGGGAAGACCATCCTTCTCACTTCTGTTCCTGTCCTCGGTCCCTAGTACCTGGCCGATCTCAAGGAAGAAGCCAGGACACGTTACGTGCATCTTCTCCAGAAGAAGATGTTCAAGGCCTGGCTCACCGTGGCCAGGGAGGCCACGGCGGAATCCCAGAGCAAGTGCGTGATGGCGCTGCAGCACAGGGACAGGTGAGCTGTTTTCTCTGGAAGGACACTCCCACGCCCACTGCACCTGGAATGTGGCTGAACAGAGGGCCACATGGAGAGCACAGCAGGTGGAGGCCCAGGCCAGGGCAGTAGTCCCCGCTCACCCTCCGGCCACCCCCCGCTGTGAGAGGGAGAGAGTCAGCCCCCTGGAGGGCCAGGCTCCCATGGGGAAAACTGGAGGGGGACATGCCTGTCCTCTGCCTCCCGGGAACGGTGAAGAGAGGAGAGTGTTACAAATATAGGCAACAACCCAAGCAACTGCACTGTCTTCTTTCCTAGTCATGTGATGGTTGTGTGTTCGGTTCACGTCCTTTTTTTAACTTTATTTATTGGGAGATATTTCCAATATGGAAAAGCACCTCGGTCAGACAGATACAGCTTACTGACGTCACCCCCACAGAGGCCCCGGGAAGGGGCCTGTTGGACCCTGGACACTCACACCGGCTCTTTCCCACTCACAAGTCCCCCTTCCTCCTAAAGGCAACTGCTCCCCTGACTTTTGTGATGAACGAGTCACGGCTCTGCTGTTTCCGGTCCCCCCGCAGGGGTGCGGCCGCACCCCTCCAGTTCGACCTCGGCTGGGGGTCTTGAATGGACGCAGACCATGTGTCACGTGTGTCTTCAGGACACAGTGAGCGCATCTTTAATCCACATCTGGAGAAATGAAGTATTCCATGGGTGGAAGTTTTGTTTCCTGTTTTACACCTTTGGGACAGAAATTTTCTCACTCTCATTAGGTACTTCCCTTTGAAAGTAAATAATGACCTGGGATGATGATGATGGTGGTGGTGATGATTTTGGTGATTTGGGATCATCTCTGGAGAACATCAGGTCCCGTGGTGGCTTGTTCAGTGATGCCTCGAGTTCTTGTGATGCTGTAGACGCGTCCCTCTCTCGTTGCCCTCAGATGCATGTGTGGCAGTGTGTCTCTGTTCTTCGTGTTTTTTTCATCTTGTCGCCCACCTCCAGCAGAGCCTGCTCATCTTGTTTAATGTACAGGCCCTGACATTGTGCGCTGGGCAAACAGGTCAGCAGGTTGATCATTTGGACCAGGGTATTCAAAGGACTTAGCTTCTCAATGAAATGCTTGAGATTGAGAGTCTGAAGTGTAGGCTCAGTATCTGTGTGATCCTGCACATGCCACTGAAGGTTTGGAAGCCTCGCATTCTTGTTCATGTAGGAGGAGGAAACCGGAGTCTATGTTATGGAGTTGTTTGAAAACTAAACAGCATAGCATAGCAATTCATCTAATACACTGGGTTTTTTTAGCACCCCTTGGTAATTTTTGTTTTTTGCTATCGTTAGTATATTACTATGAAGCCTCAATTTTGCCTTTCTTTTCTGTTTCTCAGCCACGATATACACAGGCTGGGAGATTCATTTGGGGCAGCTGTCTGCTATTGCAAAGGAACTCTTGTGGCTGAGTGGGTTATACTTTGGGCTGCTAGCCACAAGGACAGCAGTTCAAAATCACAAGCCACTCTGGAGGAGAAAAAGGCTTTCTATAAGGGGGAGTGTGGAGTGGAGACCCAAAGCCCAGCTGTAGGCAATTGGCCATCCCCTTATGGAAGG